ATGAAACCAAGTTTAAAAATAATTTGAATATTTTAAAAATGGAGCGGAGAAATTTGGAGTATGACAGCTGCCCCTATTTAATTACTCTTCGATTGAAAAGTGTGAGAATACGAAGGTCTTGCATATTCGGATCGAAGGGTTATTAAATAATGGAGAACCCTAAAATTTGACCAAAAAATTATTATATATAGATACACTGTAAAGCATACCCAAGAGTAAAAATAGTAGGCAAGGATGACGTAGTCAACCCACCAAAGTTTGAACAAAAGAGTAGTAGACCTAGATATGACGACGCAAATAACTTGTTTACATCTAGAAAAAGAGTAATTGTAGATTTTGCATGATTACCGTAGCCTAGGAGGTAATTGACACAAGCTTGAAGATTGATAACTTATTGCTGCATTGAGACCGATGCAACAAGTTATATCGTAGTTATAAATACATACTTTTACGAACGTCCCCCTAAATCTAAGCATCCACTCGTATAACAATAACGTCTCCGCCATTTCCTCACCTCTTGCCTCACCCCTCTGTGTTGAATTCCCTGAGGTATTTGGGGTCTGTTCTGACTCGCTTGATGATGAGGTTCTTGATGTGTTGGTTCTAGTACATTTGGATCATACGTCTCATCGATCATTTCTCCCCATGGTGTTGTGCTTCTAAATATATCGATGTCCATGTTGTTGAAGTTTGGTCTTGTTGGTTGGGATATGTGTGGGTGGGGTGGTTGATAGTGCCGTAATCGGCAAAAAATATGAGAGTTGCAACTATTAATTTTTATCCTAGGGAAGCGAATTAAATAGATACCCTAATTTGGTAGAGATTCTAAGTTCGCGAGTTTGGTTAGACAAAGGGAAGGTGTTAGGCACCCTTCATCTTTCTTGTTCTCAAGGGGATCCATTTTTAGGTCTAGGGTAAATCAGGAATTTGATAGTTAGGGTTTCTAAATATCGTGTATTTTGGAAAGGGGTTTTAACTTTTAATTCGGAGACTCGCCTCGGTTTTTAAGCAGTATGCCTACGTATTCTCTTATGAGGAATCAGAGTCCAAATTCGTAGTTCGAAGTTGAAACAACCGGCCGAATAAATCATCGAGATGAAATCAATAAAGTCGTCATCAAAAGTTTTTTATCCAACAGGAAGGGAAAGGTAAACATCGAGTAAACCTGAGAAGGGGGAAATCAAGGTCAAACGATCGAGAGATCGGGTAAGGAAGCCTGTTAAATGAGGGGAAAGTATTAACACCCCACATGCCTGTAGTACTCTATGATATCCACTCTTGTTGTTATAATTAAAGGGTGTATTCAAATCTATGTCTAAAGCTTAAAATCTAAAAGGGAATGCATGTGAAAGAAAATGCAGTGAAAAAAAGGAAGATTTTACAAAGTTGTGCTCGCTTAGGCCCCGCGACCTAATGCCCGTGTATCCCTTTTAAGGAATCAAAACGTCGTAGTTCGGCTAAAAGGTTTTGATTTGTTTGTGTTTTTTAGTTAAAAAGACAAAAGTAATAATCAAGATGGCAAAACATCAGATACAATGACAAAACATCAACAACAATGGCAAGACAATGACAATAATGACAAAACATCAACAACAACGGGAGAACATCAACAATGATGGAAAAACATCAACAATAAAGGCAAAGCATCAACAATGATGGAAAAATATCATATACGATGATAAAACATCAACAATAATGGCAAGACAACGACAATGATGGCAAAACATCAATAACAATGGCAGAACATCAACAATGATGGCAAAACATCAACAATAAAGGCAAAGCATCAATAATGATGGCAAAACATTAACAATGATGGCAAAACATCACAATTTAGATGATAAAACATCACACCTAACAATGATATTGAAAATCAAAGTAGGATAAAAAACATACGTGATGGCGAAACATCGATACAAAGATAGAAAAATATCATGGCAAGGGTGGCAAAACATTACAATTTAGATGATAAAACATCACACATAACAATAATATTGAAAATTAAAGTTGGATAACAAACATACGCGATGGCGAAACATCGACACAAAGATAGAAAAATATCATGACAAAGATGACAAAACATTACAATTTAGATGATAAAACATCACAAAAGATGACAAAACATCAACAATGGAAAAATATCAACAATGATGGAAAAACATCACACCTAACAATGATATTAAAAATCAAAGTAGGATAACAAACATAAGCGATGACGAAACATCGACACAAAGATAGAAAAATATCATGGTAAAGGCGGTAAGATGCCAATATAACAAGGTTTAAAATAGAGCCAAAAGACGCACAAACAATTAAGATTGGTTTGTATTTTTTACCTTGAAGAAGGATTTAAGTTCATTAGAGATATTTTATGATTTGCCAAGAAAAATAAGTTTTTGTTTTAAGATGCAATATGCAAAGAAAAGAAAACAACTAAGGGAGATTAGCCTAATCTCCTGCCCTAGTGTAATCATACAATGACAGCCATACGTCAAGGAAGAAAGGGAAATATCTACCTAAGTCAACATACATGGATAGATATCCTAGTGTCTAGCTCGAGGACTAATCCTACACGAGCAATCCTAAGGGAGCATGACATATCAAACAAGTGCTTTGACAAAAGCATACAATCAGTGTATACTGACTCAGGGTTGGGGGTATGAAGAGAAAATTCTTTAGCTAAGGGGAGAGGATTACCCGAAGCAAACAAGCGGGAGACTGAGATAAAATAAAAAAAAGCATTACTTTAGCTAAGTGGAGCGGATCACCCAAAGCAAACAAGCGGGTAACAAAGTGTCAGTAATGGCCACTGTGAACTCCTGACAAAGTGTGGGGGTTGAGACTAAACCCTTTTCCATATGACCGACTCGATACACATGATCTGCACAAATCCAAAGCATCGACGTACAATGTGAGCCCAGGATAACAAAGACTAGAATGTGCGGGGATCAATTGCGGACCCTTTCTGCGCGCTTCCTTTTGAGGGATTATTGCGGTGGGGGATATGCAAGCACAAATGTACACACACCTGCAGAATACCTACTTCAAAGGTAGGATTTTAAACAAACACAAATAACATACAGAAAGCGATGCCTGCTACAGGACTTTAAACAGCGACTTCGAGCATGCACTCATTATTTCCTACTTCTCATGATATCTAGAAAGTAGTAAAGTGCTGAAATGAGATAAACAGGAGAAAATGCCAAACAAACAAAATTTCGTAGCATAGCGCGCGAAGTAGAGAAACCCGGAAAACTTCGAGTAAGCTTCACCAAGCCAAAGAGAAATAATCAGAAAATCAAATGTGTGAAAATAACTCACATACACAATGCGTGCATCAGATGCATCTGCATCACAGACTGTATACTTGCATAAGAATTCACAATCCAGAAAAAAAACACAAGCAATGTATATTTCACATGTAATGAGAATCAAGAAAAATCGCGTTGAAAGTGAATCTCAAATCCATAAATACAGTGGAATGCAAATGCTTTTCAATCGAAATAAATGATCGAAAGCTCTTTCGAAATGCCTTGCACATGTTAACAAATGAGTTAGAAATAATAAGGAGATGGTAATCGAAGTTAAGCATCTATATCACAAATTAATTTCTAAAATCAATTAAAAATCTAACAAGCTTTTATTTATTTTATATTTTTTTCATAGAAAAAAATCAAACAAATTGGAAAAATTAACAAAATCAAGAAATTATCATAGGATGAGCCCAAGAGGTGTGAACTGGAATCGGGTGGTGTGAAATCAGGGCGTTAGGCCCAATCTGCATGAGTCCAACAAGCACTTTTGTTGACATTGTTTTAGGCTTTCCAAAAATGGCAACGGGCTTAGTGAAAAGAAAAATCTCGGCCCAGGGAGGGTTCATTTCAACATCACCATCAAATTATCTAACATTTATTCATTTATTATTTTTGAATTAAAAAGAAAATATAATAAAACAAAAGGCAGCATATGGCGAAACAGTGCGTTTGGAATTAGGTTGACATTGTGACTTTTGAACTCTCATAGTGGAAAAAAAAGAATCTCTCTTCTTCCTCAACATAACAACGGCTCACATCCTCCTCTTATCTTCTCTGATTCGAACACCGACGAAGAGCTACCGTCGTACTACTACGACGAGTTACATCTCGTCTCCGCTCTCACCTACTTCCGCTTCGTCTTCCTTCATCTCTAACTGTTCCACGTCTCAACAAAGAAAACTTCAAAATCCTAAGCTTTAGAGGTGAAATCAGATGCCGATGTTTGTAGCTTCAGATCCTAATTCTATCGTATTCTACATGCTCATAAAAGAGAAAGAGAAAGAGATAAAAAATCGTGACTTATCGAACAGAGTACCACCGGTGGTTCTTCAAACCGTTAGAATCGTTGAGAAAATCAAGATTATTCAAGTATCTTTGCTCTTTCTTCCTCTTCTATTCCATATGCTTTTTTCGGTTTTGCGCTTTCATAGCGATTCAAAATGATTTCTTTTGTTTCTGTGTTTTTAGCCTCCGTGAATTGTCGTTGTGTTCAACGTGTGATGCGGAACTGATAATGTTACTATTCATAGGAAATCCAACGACGATGCGATTTGTCGAAAACGCGATGAAGATGAAGCTATTGTATAGAACTTACAGATGAAGATGATAATGATTATTGTTGATTCGTTGAAGCAGAGATACGAAGCTTGTGTAGAGAGAAACCTTGGATCAAGATTGAAGAATGAAACAGAGATAGAGAGAGCGCCATTTTTTGGTGATTCTACCATCAGTTGAAGAATGGTGATGATGAAGCTACGTGAAGATTGTAGAGAGAGAGGGAAGATTGAAGTTTTTTTGTAGATTTTGGTGATTCTTCTCAAGAGATTGAAGAATCAATCATTCTATGGTGAGTTTACTATTTTATATCTGTTATTGTTGTGAAAGTTAGTTAGAGAATGAAACAAATCTGAGCTGTTGCATTGGAAGTTAGTTACAAGAATTGGAGGGTGAGGATCGCATCTGAATTTAACTTGCTTGAGAAGTTTTGCTGAGCTGGAATATCAATTGAATTTTGATTCTGAGTTTTTCTTGTGGAGAAATTCTGCTTGGGATTAATGATTTGTTATAACTTTCTGATTTTTCTGGTTGAGCTATTTCACGGTTTCCCCGTTTGGTTTTTCTGAATCTATCTTCTAATTTAGTTTTCATCTGATTTTCTAATTTATTCTTAAACTGATACTGGCAGTTATTTCTGTCCAACCTGACTTCGAGTAATACTTTCCCTATGATTTAATTGATGTGCCCCTCTTGCACACGGTTTTCACCCTTTCCCCTTTATATTTTCTTATTTTTTCTGATACTGTAATTTTCTTTTGACTTTATACAGGTGCAGGGCTGGTACAAAGCATGGAACGATGAACTGTCATGGTAAATAAGGTCTACATATTTGCAAGGCATTTGGCATGAGGTTGGAAGCATACAATTGTCATGGAGATTAGGATATGTTCATCTTGTTTTACTTCTTTTTGTTGTAATGGTTTTTGTAATGGTGAATGAAGAATTTTGTTGGAAATTTTGAATAGCATTGAGTGATGATGCATCAAGTGAACTTGAGTGATAAACTTGAACTAAACCTTGAATCTTGTCTTTTAATTTATTACTCCCAAGTGAACAAATCTTCCAAACTTAGAATATGGATTGACTTGTCAAACTTGAATCAAAATAGTCACTTGTATGGATTTTGAATCCTTCTTAAACTCGAAGGAACTCAAATAACTTTACTTGAGATTTTCATGACAATGAAAGAATATTGAGAGAATTTTGGACGATCTTGATTCTTTTGTAACGAATGAATAACTATCTTCAAAACCTTATAGGAATTTGAGCATTGTTAGCGAATTTGGATGATGAGAAAATTGACACTTGATTATGGATAGATCTTGAATAATGGATGATGAACAATGCGATAGTAGATGAATGAATGAATATGCCTTTGTTACTTGATATCAAGAAATCCAATTATATTTTCTTCCCAACCTCGCAAACATTAAGCGCTTCAATTCATTTGTAACAATCCAAGTTCAAAAAGATAATGAATCCAAATTCAATTCAGTTCTTGAATTCGAAATTAAATCTCAAACTCGAACCAACAAGCCTCAAATAAATGAAGGAAACAAAATATGTCTTGATCACAATCTCATCCTTCGTACCAAAATTCACCTCACACAATATGGTTTCTTGAACTGGTTATTAATGAATCACTAAGAGAAATCTCCATGCCCTTTCGTCTTGACGAAATTCTCTGATAACACTAACATAAGAAGAAACTTGTATTAGCAAAGGCTTTAGATGATGATGAAACTTTTGACAAGGAATAACAATGTCTTGATTAGATAACAACTCTTAATGAATGACCAAAACCTTGTCTAAGTCAACTTCAGACGATGCCCTGATCTTATGAGGAATATAAGGAAATAAACCCTAATCTCAAGAGATACATAAGAGAACAGTGATTCAAGAATCAACATTTGTAATTTCAAAATATTTGATGAGTCAAAAAGACAAATGAGATATCTTGAAGTACGAGAAACCCTTGTAGCTTGACATACTCAAAGATTGAGGGCACGAGACCCTACTTGCATAGATTGTTAACACAATAACCTTTCATAGCTTGAAGAAGACCATGTAGCCAAGAACACCTTAATCCCATATCAAATGCCTGAATGTGTATGACGAAACATAAGCCATATAAGGTAAAAATAAAGAGGGAAAATTTTGGGGTACAACAGCTGCCCCTATTCAATCATCTTAAACCTGTTAAGTGAGAAAACGCGACAACTTTCAAACATTCAAGGTGGAAGAGGATTGAATACTAAAAGAACCTGAAAATTTGTGTTCTAAATTAAACAGGAGCTCATAAACACTGGTAACTGCCTTTTGTAAGGATGACACTATGCAATACCGGATGAAAGAGGAGAAGATTAGTGAACACTAAATCTTACCAAAGAAATTTAGATAAAACTGGACTTAAGAGATATACCAAGTAGAGATTGGTTTTTAACAACAATCAAAAAACGATATTGGACTCGAAAAAAAAGTCAAGTAGAAACTGGTCTTACACCAAAGAACTAGTGGATACTAGTATTTGTAGAGCAAAGTGGCTAGAGTGCGCGTTTCTAGAAACACTTGCTAGTCTCAAACCAAGGGAGGACAATGTGAAGGAACTGAAAGATCCCAAAGGTTGTAAAAGAGACGTCTCAACCGAGGATAGACAGTAAGAAGGAACTGAAATATCCCAAGGTGTAAAAGAGACATAAACGAGATAGATACTCGACTCTTGGATACTAGTAGGTTGAAACTTTACTAGAAATGAGTACCAAGACGAAAAATGGATTCTAAGCACAAGTAATGAGACAAAACTAGACCTAAAGCAAAGTGATGAGAGTGCGTGTTTCTCATAGCACTTGCTAGTCTCAGACTAAAGGGTAGGCAGTAAGATGGAACTGAAAGAACCCAAAAGTTGTAAAAGAGACGTCTCTACCCAGGATAGACAGTAAGAAGGAACTGAAAGATCTCAAGGTGTAAAAAAGACTAGTTTCAACCCAAGATAGACAGTATGAAGGAACTAAAAGAATCTCGAGAGTAAGAAACAAAATGAGACGAAAGTCGACTCATGAAGACTAGTTAGACAAAAATTAAACTAGAAATGAGTACCAGGACAAAAACTAGATTTCGTGCACAGGTAACGAGACAAAACTCGACCAAAGAGAACTAGATAAAACTAAGCTAAATATGAATATTATGGCGAGACTGTATTCAAAGGGTATACCAATAGAAATCGGAAGTTTAGAAAAAAATTGGTAGACACCAAACTCAAGAAAATGGACCAGGCAGGACTGAAATATAGCAAAGATAATGAGTATATACTCAACTTTCTAGGGACTGTTATCACGTGGAGATATGTAATAGAAGATTTGGGACACTGGAAATAAAGTGACTGTACTGGAGATATAAGCTGAAGAATCTTGATAACTTCACTAGGGAATAGGGAACTCATAATGGCTTATGTTTTGATGCATGTTTGATTTTTTTTTTATGGAGTAATGTTCCAAAAGAGAATGGAAACAATACACTTTTAGGATGCAATGCAATGATGCATGACTAAATGTTTCACCGGGGAATGGTCAATCAAGAAGCCAATGACCAAGAAGTCAAAACCTGACAGGACTTGCAAAAATAAATTGCAAAATCCAATGGAGAAGAGAAGATATAAGGAACCGCTGGAGAGAAAACCTTGAAGTTATGAAACTCTATGGGGAATAACAAATCGAGTAACCAGTAGAAACAAGCTATAAACATTGAGAGGAGTTGCAAAAATAAATTACAAACTCTACTGAAGAGGATCAGATAAAAATTATCAACTTTAATAAGGAATGCCAAATGAAGATTGGGCGTTGCCGGAGAGGATTCATATCAAAACTGTGAATCCTAATACAAGACACCAAATGAAGATTGGACATTGCGGGAGAAGATCAGGGCAAAATTATAAATTCTGAAGTGAGACGCCAAATAGAGATTGGACGTTGCGGGAGAAGATCAAGGCGAAATTGTAAATTCTAAAGTGGGACGCCAAATAGAGATTGGACTTTGCTGGAGAGAGCACCAACAAAATAGGGCCTACGAGAAATAAAAAAACACCTTCGATTGCTTGGGAAATAAATTGTTAACCTCTTATCAAGGATAACAAAAAACTTGTACTGTCAGGGATATGAAGATCCTATCTGGAGATAAGAGAACTTACGAATATAACTCTTGATGGGACAGTCTTCATGAAAGAAAACTCAACAACATATGCTACTACTGAAGATACGAGAATCTTCAACTCCACTGGGGAACAAGGGTGAGCTTCAACAAGAACAAAATCATGCTATGATGCTCTATCCTGGGACTAGAAACCACAATAGCGTACTCCTTTGGGGAAGTAACACTTATCAACATCCAGGATTGAGATCTACTGGGAAAAGAGAGAATCTATGAATAAGTACTTTCGATGAAACGACTCCATTGGAGAAATGAGAATTCCTGAATAGGAGATTTCTTGATAAGGAAACTTCATAGGGGAGATGAGGATTTATGAGTAAGAGATTTCCGAAGGCAACTCTGCTAGGGAAGGAGAAATTATGAATAAGAGATCTCAGACAATGGTCTTTACTAGAGAGATGAAATAAACCTCAACACAACTTAGCTGGAGAAATAACATTCCCGAGAGCGAGATCTCAAATAAGGCAGCTCCATTGGGGAACAAGAAATCTTGGACAAGAGATCCTCATAACATCCTCCTCTGAGGAAGTGATATGATGCTCACATGACTTCGATAAGAAATGGAATAGACTTGAACAGTCTTTACCAGGGATAATAAAAGATTCTCAGCAAAAAGAACTTCGAACCATGCTTGTTCCATGAAGATTAGTGAATTCTTGAACAAGAAATCTTTATGAAGTGACTTCGCCGGGGAATAAGAGAAATTTCCAAAGGAACTCTTAACTTCAATTGGGGATGAGAACACTCCATTTAAGGGAATAAACATTCTCTTATGAGCACAATATAACATATGTCATTTATTGGGAAATGGATATTCTATACCAAAAGATCAAAACTTTCAAACAAAATGCCTTTTGCTAGGTGATGCTGGGGAGACAATACTTTAATCACTTAGAGAATAAGACTCTCTTAATCTGAAGTTAGTCAATCCTTAAAATTCCTCACTATGAGATACTTATTGAGGAGAAGTAGAAACTTTGGTGTTTCTTCGGAGAAAACGACCCAAGTTAGGGATACTCTAATCATCTTGAAAGATGTTGCTCAGGTAATGGCGAATTACACAGATAAGAAAATAAAATGATAACTTATGCGAAACATATCACTGAACATGCCCCAGGCATAGTGTGACAACTTCGCTGGAGGGGGTCCTTGTAGAAACATGGCACCATTTTGACTTGAGATAATCTGCCCCAGATTATTCGAGCTCTAAATAATTCTATGACACAACAAGTCCATAGAGAGATTCGTCGAATCTCGATGTAACTGCTTCAGGTTGACTAACCTTTGAAGAGATTATCCTCGAGAGGACTTCCTGGGATCTGTGCTGAGAATATCACTCTTGACTTTAGTTGGAGATAAAGATCTCAACTACTGATGAAGGAACAACA